ATAATATAATTTTCTTATAAAGATAATAATTAATTATTTTGTTAGAACTCGATAATTATCCTAATTATATTTTAGATTTTTTATATTTAAAAATAAGATGTTTATCTTGTATTTGATTATATTTATCCGCAATTAGTTATACGAATTCAAAAATCGAGCTTTGATAAGTTGTACTTTTACATAATTTATTTGTAATCTTGAATTTTAAGTAAACATTGGTTTTATGTGGTTTTGAGAAAGTGGTAATATTTCTATTTTTGAATAAAATATAAATTTAAAAATATCATAAAATTTTGAAATAAAATATCGATATCAGTATTAAATTAATATTTTTAAAAGTTCTTGTGTTTTGGTGTAATTTCTTTAATTAAATTCTGTTAGTTATCAATGATTATCATAACTATATTTTAGATTTTTTATATTTAAAATGAGATATTTATCCAATATTTGTTTATGTTTATCTGCAGTTAGTTAGACGAATTCAAGTATGTAGCTTTAATAAGTTGTACTTATGCATAATTTACTTGTAATCTTAAATTTTAAGTAATATCCATCAATAAATAATACTTTGTGCATAAAAAATTGTTTTAAGAGTTTTTGTCAAATGTTTTATAATATACTAGTTGTGTACCCGCGCAATGCAGCGGAATATAAAATGTTTTAAATTTCAAAATATCAAATCTTTTCAAGATGTTATAAAGTCTACTACATTTGTACCTATATTAGATTCAAATAACCATCCATCCAAAACATAGGTGGTGGTGTTGGTAGCTTTTGCAATCATCCTATAAAAATAGAACAAATCTTCATATGTAAAGTCTATAATGACAAAGTCTTTTTTAGAACAAAAAGATGTTTTAAATAAATTTTTTGGGTAACATAACCTAATTTACAGAAAGAATGGGTCCATCCAAAATTATACACATAACCTATTTTATAGAAAAATTACAAATTTACACACAAAACCTATTTTACAGAAAGAATGTGTCTATCCAATATATTGAGTACTCTTTCGAATGAGACCTAAATTTACACTCACATACATCTTTCAAAACCGAACTCAAAATCAGACTTACTTCAACCCTATCATCATACTTTTTTGAAGACTAATCACTTATGCCTTCTTCATTGTCTTTGTTATATACCTATCATCATTCACATGTAGAAAAAATTGCCATTTTTCCGGGAGAAGAGAGCTCCCGAAGATCCTCATCCCAGAACATGTAGTCATTTGGATCCACATTATACAATTTCCTAAGAGTCCTGAAACAATACCAAAAAATATGAACCAAATATTTGTATTAGCTTAACCGAGAATAAAGCTAGATTTTACAAGATCTAGCAGATACAAAATGAACATTATTACCAAAAAAAAATTCAAATATACCATAAACTTTGCAAATGATATAAAACTTTCAAGGGCAAACATGAAAACCAATAGGAAATAGTCTTTCCGGTTAAAATCACATGACTGAAAAGGTGGAGTGTGTTTAAAGTCGACTGTTAAGCCATTTGTAAAGGCTTTTAAACCCACTTCAGTAGCACGGACTAAAAAAATTGCAAGGTTGCAGGAAGGATCTCTAAGGTTTATTAATGCAGATCCAAAATAGAATAAGCCCATTGTATTTTCACCAAAACCTTTACAAGCAGTATTCATGGTTGCTACTAATTATAATAAGCCACCTCTATTGCCATCCCTCCCTCCAATGAAGCCAATGCCACTTACCTTAGCAAAGTCTAATCCAAAGACCACTAAGAACTTCAAATACATTCCAATAGATGTGAGAGTCGAGGAAATAACAAAGGGTCTATCTTATTACTGTGATCAACCATATGACAGACAACACAAGTGTCGATTTAAAGAGCAACAATTGTTTATAAATGAAATTCTGAGTGAGGAAGAAGAATATGATTGCATCAGAATGGAAATGGAACAAGAAGATCCAGACCCTTGTATTTCAGTAAATGCTCTTTTAGGAAATCAACACTTCCATACAATGTGTTAAATGAATTGTCAAAGGGTAACCTCAAAAGATACTGATAGATTTTGAAAGTACCCATAACTTCTTGGATTTGGTGTTGACTAAGAAGTTGGGTTCATATTTAGAGGCTATTCTACTACAAGCGACAACAATGACAAATGGTAATCACTTCGATTGTTTGTTTGTATGCAAGAACTTTGTACAGGTAATGCCAAGAAAAATGTTGAAGACTGATATGATGTTGATTTCATTAGGAAGTTGCAATATGGTTCTTGGAGTCCAGTGTCTTAGTCGATGGGACATATATGCTGGGATTTARTAAGTTTWGGATGAAAAGGTCGGACAACAACTTTCATTAAAATTTATTCATTAGGAAGTTGCGATATGGTTCTTSGTTATGCCTATTGCAAGTGCAGTAGGTATCGAACACACATCACCAATAGACAAAGAATAACTTGAGCCTTGATGCAYGTTAGTGTAGGCATGAATAAAACAACCCCTTTCATTTTAAGTCTGAAAGAACACTTATCTAGGTTGCTAAAGCACACATACACCAAATTATAAACATGCAAGGCATGTAGAAGTACTTACTTGGCAAAATTCTTTTGACACTTGCAGCACATCCTCCACAAGTCATACCCTGACAGAAAAGAGGATTCAAAAGCTGAGAAATATAGAACAAAAGAAACCACACATTTTCACAAAAATTAATTGAAAAATAAAATCATTGACGTCCAATAACAGAGTGTACAAATAACAAATAACAGAATTAATTTGAAAAATAAA